ATATGAAGTTTACATCGCACATCACGCGCTGCGACTCGTCCGCTGACTCCACCCGGTTGCCGCGCGACGGGCCTCCTGTCGGATACACTCGAGGTTTTCGATAGATTGGAATGTGCTCTTCAATCTCTAATTGGGAGCATTTGGTTCTAATCTCGCAAAGTGTAATAATTCCGTTTTGGATGTGGATACCAAATGTACTTTTTTTATTCCCCTCTCGTGTGTTGCACGCGTTAGCTTGCGGCGCCAATCTAGTAGTGGTAAACAAGTAAGAGTAGGTAGAAAAATAGTAAGTAGAAAAAAGTAGAGGTAAAAAGTACAAATTTGAAAATTTAGTGTTAGTTGTCATTGTACATTGTCAACACAATTTTTTTCAGAAATACCACTAAATGTAGTGGGAGTGGGCACGCTCACACGTCATTGATTACCTACCCAGAAATACTCAGAAGGTACCTTCGTGATTTATTCAAATAACCATTTCTCAATTTAGACTCTATAAAACAATCCGTAATAACATAATGATAGGTACCCAACTGACGACCACAACGATTTCCCCCTGCCAGCTGATGTCACAGTGTTTTGCCAGCCTGAAGGTTGCCAAACATTAGGTTCGTCCTCAAGGCTAAGTCGTGTTTTCAGAATATTGTTGTTATCTAAGTATGTAATGCATAAGTATTTCAGACGCTCACGCAAGATGCGGTCAGGGTCGCGATCCCCAATTTTTCGTTTTTATGTTGACAGAAAAAGACTCGGCGAAAATACGATATGGTATCTGCCTCAATTTCTACCAACGTTCGGACAAGAGAATAACTAATGCAGGTGGAGCGAGCGGAGGAAGAGCTGCCGTCGAAAAAAAGCAAGTTTTGTTGAGTATATAATCGTGCTGTCCTTCCTAGATTTACCTGTTTAATGGCACAGGTTGGGATCGAATTGGTGCTATTTTGTTCGATATTTAGATAAGAAGTGCAGTGAGGAACGTTAGTGAGGAGAAAAGCAAAAAGCGCCATAGAAAACACTGAAATTTCCCTTGTGAGGTCGGCCGTGGTATGACGGAGAGACACAGCGCTGCGAGGAGAGGGAAAACGCGAGAGAGCACGTCGTACGCGAGAGGGCGCAGACGCCACGTATGCCGCGATTGATAAGGATGGCAGCACGGCAGCACACAAGGCAAGGCCTTAGCGCCGTTGCCTCGCACTTTTGAGTCGCGACAGTGTCGCGCCTCCTAGGAAACCCTCTCCCTCATTCTAGGAGGGGTTACTTCTTAGCACTCAGTCCCGACCCGTGACTTTAACTATTATTAGTAGTATCAACATGAAGAGGATCGAAGGATTGCGAGATCATTGTGAAAGAAGAAGTGAAGGTTTCAGTTAGCTGTTTTTCCATACCATGCATGTAACTGTTAAATCAATTTATAAAATGTTCATGTTTCATCAATAACTTCGCACACTTTTCATTACCAGCTTATGTCTGATCTCGCATCACCCTTTTGTCTCAAGCTTCCATGACTTACTGGTATTGCTGAAGCAGATCATCGATGGTTGCAATTATCGGGCATCACAAAAGAATGGCATCAGGTATTCTAACGCAGGCTATTGAATATCATCTGTTATTGTTAAGATAAACATAATTGGTCGTGAGCGGGTACCCACTATGGCCAATCGTCTGTTGACATCGGTGTTGTTTTGTACCCACGACAGGAGCGGATGGGATGAGGTGGAACATC